TCAAGCATATAATTTTAGAATGAAGATGATGTCAGTTAACTGCGGAATCTAAATGAAGATATGATCGTCGCAGTTTAAACAATTGTAAATTTAGCCCGAAAAATGACTAAGATTTCCGGGCTTCAACGGCATTCGAAGCCATCACCTCTGCGTTGGTGCTGCAGTACTCTGCCTACTGAACTATGAAGACAAATGTATTGCGGGCAGTTTGATTTGTAGAGTTCATCCTAACCTGGGAAAGAAATGAAACACAGAATGAAGATGTTGTGAACTGCGGAATTACAAATCTAAATAAAGATTAACAATCGCGTTTGTAATCATAATTTAAGCAATTGCAAATGAAGCAAATTAAGCCCATTTATACCTTTATCCATGACTTACTATTGACGGTAAGCACTAAAATAGTTCGTTGTTTTTTTAGGACAAAAGACCTCCGACCTGAAGCCAAGAACTTTGAAGTTTTCTTTGTTCACACGGTAACTTAGACACCCAAGTCTTCTACTTTTATTTGTGATTAAATTTAAGACAAACCATGAACGGTGAAACGCTCATACGTTTATGACCGTCATACGTTTAGAGAGAAATCTTCTCGACCATGAGAGAGATACACCTTGTAACATACATCGATATTTTCTTTCAGCCGAAACGGATTTACTATTTGGAAGATCATACGGGACATGCCAATGAATGGGTGAAGAAGATCGAGGAAGTTCATCGTGCTTACTTTGGAGATTCAACACATCTGTAAATACGTGAACAATTTTGCCGATCTTTGGAAAGGCTACATTCAGCCATTCCTTAGACATATGTAGCCTGTTCAAGGCTCCAAGATAGTAATGTGCAGAGATCGTGAAAACCAGCGCCGAAAACGCACGGGGGCTGGAGAGAGAAAAGGCAGATCGACTATCTGAGAGCCTGGCACAGATGACGCAACGACTTCCACCAAAAGCAACCTACTCAACTAGAGTAGCTGTTAACGTTAACTGTCTGATTTTAAAAGTTATGTCCGCATTTAACAGGTCTTGTCTGTTCATGCGCGATCGTGAGCCTTACTCGGAGTGGTTTCTTTATTGCTTGGTTGAAGAACGTGATAGCCACTGCTTTGAATGACTATCAATTTTACCCCTCATTTCAATAAAAGACAATGTTTCTATATCATTATTAATTATGTAAACACTTGTAAACACGTCTCGTATATTTCATTCATTGTTCTCTTTCTTAATTAATAAATAAATGTAATCATATTTTAGTTCAAAATTGATTTGTCTCCAGAACTGAACTTCGTACAGATCAGTGAAAGGCGAGCATCTCTAATGGGTGTTTGTCACATGTTTGTCTAAGTAGGTTTTTCTTATCATATTACTTATTTCAAGTTTTAAAAGTGAAAACAACGTGGAAATAAGAAAAGAAGAAGCTGGTAAAGAAGTGGAATTAAATGAACCGAATAATGCGTAGTGGTTATTCTAATCTCCTTGCCTTTCTAATCAGTGCGTTTAACTTAACAAAAGAGGAAATACAGCCGTCGCTTTTTGACGAAATTTAATGCGGCTTTTCATTTCACAGTAGAGCATATAAAATGGGGTTAATGGTGTCCCAATATCTTACAAGTACAGCTCCCGGGGGTACTCAATAAAGTTTTATCAGGGGAGGCTCAGCCCCGAGGTCCAACATCTTACCCGTTTATAAACCATTTTTGACAGAAAAAGTTCCCCTATCTGTATACTTCTCATTGACAAATGGTGTCCCTTGCAAATACCTAGTTTAAAACTTTGCATCCGTTTTAACTGTTGTAGTAAATGCACTTTCTTTCAAATATGAATCGCAATCGACTTTTTCACAGCCGTAAAATCCTTCTGGGTGTAGCTCTTTTAGGTCATTTTGAAGACCGATACAGAAGCCCATCATTAGCCGGAGAATAGTCATGGACTCCTGACCGATGTGACAGATTTCCCTACCCCGCCATACACTTCAATTAGTGAAATCCCTACCCTTTCAATACCTGAAACCTTAGTCTGTTCCAGGTTCTGAGATAGTTGGGTCCGCGAAATTAAGAAAGCGCGAACAAGAATATAAAACGGGAGGAAACCGGACAGAGGAAGGGCGGCGGGATCCATTTTCACACCACCGCTCGCTTTCTTAGATCACGCACTCGGGCATTTTTTCGCGTATCACTCTGACGCGTCATCCCCGATCTGAGAGCCTAGTGTCGGTCGACATATCGACCTTCACAAGATCCAACTCATCGTCATGCGTCACAACGACATAGATCCGGGGTTGCTTTCAGGGTACCTTGTTACGGTACACTGTTATATTTCAAAGGTCCCCCGGGGGGGGGGGGGGGGGGCCCCCCCCCTTTAAGCGCTTACCCGTTTTTTAAAAAAAATTTTTT